CGATCCGTCCAGCGTGGTGGCATGGCACTGCGATCATGCATCCAGCATCCAGCACCCAGCACCCAGCGCCCCCCAAGGCGCGCCCATACTCGAATTGTGCCCATCCTCCGTGGCTTCAAATCTCGCCGCGGCAGCTTCCTGATGCTGCTGGAGAGGGCATCGCTGCCAATTACACACCTTCCCTCTTCAACCCCTAACGCATTGCGTTCCTGTCCAACCTCCGAGATGTGTTGGCCGCAGACCTCCCGCCGCCTCACCCTTGCCTTTATCCTCCCGTGGCTCAAAATCCGAGGTTTTCTTATTTGTCAGTGCTGACAATCCAGGGGTTTTCTTGTCTAGAACCGATGCCAAAGGCATGGGCAGGAAGGCGTATCTGCATTCTGTCTTGGTGTTCCTGGTCACCGAGAGATCCCTCCACACCCCGTTTGCCCAAACATGAGACGCACTACACGAGGCTGTTGGTCGCATCTTTCAGGCTGTTTCAAGCCGACGGGACTTTCGAGACACGACGAGCGGAACGCCATCTTGTGCACCGCCCACAAGCCACAAAACAATTATCGGCAAATATCGCCAAAAAACGAGATGGGATGTTCCCAGTGCCATAGCTCAGATCTTATCAATACGTGCGGCGAGTATGACCTCCAGCGAACGAGGTTCTGGCAACCCCTTTCCAATCTCGTCCCCCTCCATCAACACGGAAACGCAGTCATCCCTGCTGGCTGTTTGGACTCCGGTTGGTCGCAGGCTTCCAGAAGACTGTGGGTTTCCGCGACCAGGGGTGGCCCTCCCCTCCCCTTTTTGGTGTGGCACCTCTCATCGAGTGTGGGGTAAGAGGGAGGTCGGACAAGCTCAGTTGCTTCGCGAGGCCCTAGGTAAATGAATAAGAGGGGTTCGTTATTGGTGATGGATGTTGAGATTGGCAGAACTCCGCAAGCTCAAGAGTTCTCCCATTGTCGCAGCGTGCTAAGCTTTGGGGTGCGTCGGTAAAGCCTGTCGTTCTGGCGAGCATCGCCGGTATGAAGATGGAACTCTACTTTTGCTGAATGTTGACCGCTTCTCTTTTGTGGGAGAAGCGACATTGCGACGGAGAGGAAACGGGACATGATTTCCGGTAGGACTTTCAAGGCTCCCACAACGTCTAGTAACTTTTTTTTTTGCCTTTCTGTCTCGGTGCGGACTCGATGATCTCGCATACCTCGCAGAACCGTGGCAACCGTCACGTAGCGATATGGGTTCTGTCACATATCTCTCGGCTCGGGCTTGGCCGGAGGACGCCACGAACCCGCGGAGCCCTGGAAAGGTGAACCGTTGGAAGCCGTATCCACAGCTCACGCCATATGCCACGCCCACGCCGGTGTGACTGCGAGCGCCGAGCAGCAGTACCCACGGCTGCGGACGCATATGACCCTGGCTCTTTTTCTGCTGCCAGAAGAAAAAATAGCCAACGGTTCACGCAGGCGAGAACGGATCGTTGGGATGTCAGACGTCAAAAAAGGGCAGGCCGCCGAAGGATGGCTCATCCCAAAATGCGGCCGTGGGATCGTGAGCCCAGTAGGTGGGTGGCCAGCGCGGCCGGCTATTCAAAGATCGGGCCAGGGCCCGTATGCGAGGTGAAAGGAAGGGAAGGAAGGCCGAGAGGGAACGGGGGAAAAAAAAATGATCGAAAAAAAGGAGGCGGCGCGTGCTGCATCGTGACAAACCAAATCGAGCGTGGATGTCAAGCCTCTCTGGCTTGCCATCGCGCGTCTTCGGACCTGGCGCTGAGCTTGCTTGAATGTTTCCCCCGGGCTTACCCTGCAACATGGAGCGACAGCCTTCGGCCGTAGGAGCTGGCCGTTTTGTGTGCTTCGAAACCTTTTGAATACTCTGGACCAAACATACATCGAACGAACTATTCTGCCCAGGTGCTGGGGTTTCCGGCACCCAGGCCCAGGTTTGCTGGTGCCAGGGGAGGTAGGAGACTTTTCATCTGGTTTCTCACCCTTGGAGCTACGGAGATATTGTTCTGACGCCGTCGTCTTTTCTTTCCCTCTGGCGTGTGCGTTCCTGCGGCGAAGCAGAAGCGTTGTGAGGGTGTGTATGAACCAGGCCCAGGGGGGAAGGAGGAGGGAGGGACTGTAAGTCGGATGTGCCCAGCAGTGGAAACGGCTGGGACACCCACACGGAAGATTCCTACGTCACGCAGGGAGATCCCATCTCGGACAGGCAATGCTGGTTTCAGGATGTTGGCCATCCCGTGCTGCAGGTTCGACGATGGCTGAATCACACAGATACCCCGTGTTGGGCTTGTGTGAGCTTATCGAGGTGTGACTGAGTTGAGTTGCGTGTACCTGGAGCTAAGCCAAGAAACTGATAGCCGTCATCGAGACTTGACTTGCATCTCATGTTGAGGATGTGTCTGAAAGTGGGTGTGAGGAAAGTTGAATCTCGATTGCGGTGTTCACCACAGGCAGGACGAGGGGATTCCGGAAGCCCACGAGCCTTTCGTCAAGCTGCGTTGGGATGTTTGGGATGATGGTGAAGAGTGGTACTGAGCTCGCTCGCTGAAACAAACAGCCAAGGTGGAACCTGAGGCAGCAGGGGCATCTTCTTGGGAGATGCATCTGCATGTGGCGCACGCTGTGGCGTCGCTTACCCTGTCTTCTGCAGCAAGCTGTGGCTGGAGCTCGAAACTCTAGTCCCAATTTGGCAAGTCCTCCCAACGACATCACGAGAGGAGTTGGAGATATCAAAATCTGGAGCCTGTTTTGCTCCGCAGTGCCAATTCAACACACATGTGGCGATCCCTTGTCTCAAAGGCTTCGATCCCGCTCAGAACAGCCTTCACCCGCGTTGCCAACCCTGCAAGCCGCGCCGCCGCCTTTGCCACGACCGCCAAGATGGCCGCCGCCAACCGAGACCCCAACACCCTCTCCAACTACGGTGCGTGGCTCACCAAGCACACCACCGCCAACCTCACCATCGACTTCAAGGACAAGTGTCTGAAGGGCTCCGTCACCCTCGAGCTCGAGTCGCTGACCGACAAGGAGAGCAAGGAGATCGTCCTCGACTCCAGCTTCCTCTCCATCAAGGGCGTCAAGGTCAACGCCGCCACCTCCACCTATGAGCTCAAGGACCGCGTCGAGCCCTACGGCGCTCCCCTGCACGTCTTCGTGCCCCAGGGCGCGGCAAAGGGCGAGATCGTCAAGGTCGACGTCGACCTGTCGACCACCGACAAGTGCACCGCGCTGCAATGGCTCACCCCCGCCCAGACGAGCAACAAGAAGCACCCGTACATGTTCTCGCAGTGCCAGGCCATCCACGCGCGCTCGCTGTTCCCGTGCCAGGACACCCCCGACGTCAAGTCGACGTACACCTTTGTCCTGACCTCGCCGCTGCCGGTCGTTGCGTCCGGCGTGGCTGTCGAGGGCGAGCCGGAGAAGAAGGGCGACGAGACGGTGTACCGCTTCGAGCAGAAGGTGCCGATCCCGTCGTATCTGTTTGCGCTGGCGTCTGGCGATATCGCGACGGCGGATATTGGGCCGCGCAGCATCGTTGCTACCGGACCCGATGAGCTGAAGGAGTCGCAGTGGGAGCTCCAGGGCGACATGGAGAAGTTCATGGAGGTTGCGGAGAAGCTTGTCTTCCCTTACAGATGGGGCCAGTACAACGTGCTAGTACTGCCGCCTAGCTTCCCCTACGGCGGTATGGAGAACCCCATCTACACGTTCGCGACGCCGACCATCATCAGCGGTGACAAGCAAAATGTGGACGTTATTGCTCACGAGCTGAGCCATTCGTGGAGTGGAAACTTGGTCACTAGCTGCAGCTGGGAGCACTTGTAAGTGAGATGATTCACATGAGTAGGATGAGATGCTGATGAGTCGGTAGCTGGTTGAACGAGGGTTGGACGACCTACCTCGAGCGCAGAATCGGCATGGCTGTTCACGGTGATGCTGAGCGTGATTTCTCTGCCATCATCGGCTGGAAGGCTCTGGGTACGGATTCTCTATTCAGTCTCACATGAGATCTCACTCACTAACATATATCAGAGGACGCCGTCGCCCTCTTCGGCAACGACTCCGAGTTCACCAAGCTCATCATCAACCACAAGGGCATCGACCCCGATGACGCCTTCAGCACCGTCCCCTACGAGAAGGGCTTCCACTTCCTCTACTACCTCGAGCGCCTCGTTGGCCGCGACGCCTTCGACAAGTTCATCCCCCACTACTTCACCAAGTGGTCTCGCAAGTCTCTTGACTCTTTCGAGTTCAAGGACACCTTCCTCACCTTCTTCAACGACCTCGGCGATGCTGAGATCAAGGACAAGGTCGCCTCTATTGACTGGGACAAGTGGTTCTACCAGCCTGGTCTGCCCCCTAAGCCCGAGTTTGACACCTCTCTGGCGGATGTGTGCTACAAGCTTGCGGAGAACTGGAAGGACGAGGTAAGTCTGCTTTAGTCCACATCTTTAACACGATGCTAATAATTGAACAGAAGTTCACTCCCTCTCCTGAGGATGTTGCCTCCTTCTCCGGAAACCAAAAGCTCGTCCTGCTCGAGACCATTGAGAAGTTCCCGAGCCCCTTGTCCGCCGACCGTGCCCGCCTGCTCGGCAAGACTTATGACCTCGTCACCTCGCGCAACGCTGAGCTCAAGACTGCCTACTACAAGATCGCCCTGGCGGCCCAGGACTCGTCCTCTTATGCTGGTGCCGCTGAGCTTCTCGGCCATGTCGGCCGCATGAAGTTCGTCAGGCCTCTGTTCCGTTCGCTGAACAAGGTCGACCGCGATCTTGCGCTCAAGACCTTTGAGAAGAACCGTGACTTCTACCACCCCATCTGCCGTGGCATGGTTGAGAAGGACCTTGGACTCGTGTAAAAGTATTGGAACAAATTATTTGTCTTTCTCAATGGCAAACTCACGCTGTTGAAACCAATTCACGCATAATCAAGTAAAACGACTTCGGACTTTGATTCAAATCAAGATGACCGATAGCCAGTGATGTCATTTGGTAATAGTCAAATTGTCTCATGCATATACTGCCTAAGTCTGCGGACAACAGCCTCTTTCCCATTCTGTTCCGCGTAGTCAAGTGGCGTTCTCCCCATCAAGTCCGCAGCAGTCGCGATGGGTAAGTGTTTTAGCAGAATCAGAACAAAGTCCAGCAATCCATTCATAGCTGCAAAGTGAAGCGCCGTCCAGCTGTTCTCGTTTGCTGCGTTGATATCTACGCCCTTTTCAATAAGCAGTTTCACCATGTTCATGTCCTCATCCCTGACGGCGAAGCTCAGCAGGTTGGTGCGTATCTTTGTAGGATCGGCTCCATAGTCCAAGAGCAAGCGTGTGATATCTCCAATCTCCCCTTCCATGTCCATGGCCCAGTCCAATGGATATTCGCATGCAGAGCCAAAGTTAGCGTCGGTGCCATATTTCAGCAGAACTCCCACGACGTCCTTGTGGTCATTCGATATTGCAGAACGGAGTGGGCTGTCTGGCCCGAATCCATGGACATGTGTTCCCTGTTTGAGAAGACGGCGGACTTCAGACACTTTTCCGGACTTCGAGGCCTCTACAAGTAGTAGCATGTCGACAATTTCAGTCAACTCGAAGTATGCTGCGACTTCAACGCTTAGGCGATCATGAATTTGGTCCCATTCTGGCGTATTCGAGTCGTCTCCTTTAAATGCGTCCACAACTTGCATAGCGGCCTGAACAGCTTTTACGCTACTGAGGAAGGTTGTGATGGCTCGCCGCAATGGTTCTCCAATCCGCGGGTCACTCGAACTCTTTTCCTGGTCCAAAGCCTTCCGCGCGTACTTTCCCCAGGACGTTGCGGCGTGGACGTAGAACGGATGCATCACCATTCGCTCATCCCATCTAAAATCCGTCTTACAAGGCCCAGACTCAAAGACCTCCATAGACAGGTACTCACAGCAGGTTTCTGCCTGTTCTCGCGCCATACCCGGAAACCAATAATCTCGGTCCGAAGCAAGGAATGACTTTGCTGTACCGTGGAAGAAATCAAGATACCCCTCTGAATCGACGACGACGAGACCAGCACAGGAAGCGATCACCGCTTCCAGATTCAAGTTCGTAGGAGGACAGCTTTTGCTGTTTCTGAACGTGCAAAGATCCTCGAACGCCCTCTTGTCAAGCCTCAGGCTAGATTCAGAGAGAGCTATCCAGGCAATGAGAGTTGTGGCCCACTCTGATAGAGGTGACTTCTGCACACGTATCATAGCTTCAGTATACAACTTCACCAATGGCGTAGAGCGGTTTGGATCGAAAGAATCTTCGTTGTCGGTTCGTGTGCTGGCTTTTAGATGATCAAGATGAATCTTGGCAAAGAGAAACCTAGTGCTGTTAGTAGTTTTTCGTACAGATACTTGTGGAAAAACACCCACAAACCATTCGCAAAGTCCACAGTCTGTTTCAGGATCCCATCTAGGGGTGCAGAAGGTGGGTTTGCCTTCAAAGAGCCTCGTACAAATCTCGAGATATCACGATGTGTGGCGCGTATTGTCGTTGTGTGAGTATGCCAACCAAAACCAACCGAAACTGATCTGGAGGTTATTAGGAGATTGACCTTGATACCATAGTTTCGTAAGTCTGATATCGACTGTAAGAATTCCTGGTAATTTCCGAGCAATTCCGGAGCGTCTACAACGACGAAAATCCTGCTCGTTCTGCGAGCGGCACGGACGAGAAGTTCTCTTCGTGTCCCTTGGCTCAGAAGGATGTCATCCTCTTCAGCTTCAAAAATTTCTTCATTTAGAGACACAAGGTTCCCCGGAAGAGCATGGGAGAAGCTGTTTGATGATGCTTCGGTGTAAACTCATGCTGATATTACCACTGTAGGCATGTGTTTCGCAGAACAAGCCGATAACCCCAAGGATGATACCCATAGATGCCACTCTGCGAGCCTCCGCGTAAAGATCTTTAATAACGACCGAGGCTAGAACAGATTTGCCAACGGCGGGTGCGCCAAGGACAAGAAACGAGTCCTCCTCGTTATCCGTCCACATTCGGTATTTCTCTGAGTCCAAGAACCATTGGAAAGTACCTGGGTATCGCTGATTCCTATATTTCTGATAGGCTACTTCATCGTCTGTCGGTACGGTAGGCCCGTCTTGACGGACTCCATCGTCACTACTCCCGGTATCCTCCGTGGTAGCGGCGTAGTTCTGGAATCCGTCCTCAACGTGGTTTGGTGAGCCTGAGGGTTCATCATCTGAGAACCTCAGACTAACACTTCGCAAGGATAGCATGAAAGAGAGATCATCTTGGGCATCCCTCCTGTAGCTGACATGCGATGAGTCTGACTCGTCATTTCCTTGAGTTCTTGGGAAAGCGAAAGAGGCCAATCTCTCCATGTGTAATGCCATATGACTCGCCAAGTCTACATCTCCTGGAGAGGAGGATAGACAAAACGGACACTGCTCTCTTTCATCCTTAGTGTCTTCATAAGCGAATTCAGACATGTCCTGTATCTGAGCTTCTGTAAAGGTGGTGTGCGACGTAGCCATGTGATCTATTCAAGCAGCTCTTGTTTTAAACTTGTCTTGATGCTCGAAACAGTGCCAGACTCTGCGATGACTCTGCAACTCATGTTCAAGCCAGGCACTTCTTGTGGCATACATTTTGCTGGCCTCTTCGTCTTTGCAGTCAGGATAGGTACACATGTATGGCTGCAGATCCTGTAGGAGATGTGCTCTATCAGAATGATTAGGTCCTCGCCGAGTCATGCGAGACCTCGAGGTCACTCACCTCCAGCGCCCGCCTGTGGCGCATTCGGAAGCGCAAAGTTCGTTGCAGTAGTGGCAGACGAATTTTGTCTGCGCGGGTTCCAAAGCAGGAGGGGACGGAAATCTGGTGGAACCGTCGTCGTCATCGAGCCTGATTGCGATAGAAGAAGTTGTCAAAACAGCGCCCACATCACCGGCTTCTATGTAGTCTTGCGAGAGGTCTGTTTCTGGCAGCAATGCGCGCTTCGAAGAACTCGGTGCTTCATCTTCTTGGCTGGAAGAAGACATCAGCCTCCGTTTCTTGTTCGTCGGAAACGGCAAATCGTGAACGTTCATTGGCGTAGGCTGAGGAGTTGCTTCCGTCACACTCGGCGTTCTAGCTTGCCGTCTCCAATACGCGAATATTCGACGGCGAGTCGTGATTGAAATTCCCCAGCGTGGTTCCAAGTAATAATGGGGGTTTCTTGCGTGCAGTCCACCTTGTGTTCCCGGCGGCAATGGAGGATCGTCTGCCTCGCCAGTCGTGGGCCTTTGGAGTTGCCGAATGAATTCATTGACATGGCCTTGATCAAAGTCCGAGTAAGCCTCGAATAGATCAACAAGCTGATCGTCCACCTGAACTTCTTCCTTATGTTCTTGGGCCTTTTTGTTTACTGGTGTAGTTTGAAAAGCAGGGCCCCCGATTCGCAATGATATCTTGCCAAGGGATGCCAGAGTCTGGTCAACGTCAGCAGTGTTCTGTCCCAGCTCGGTCCTCATGTCGTATCTGCCAAAGTAACTGCCATCGCTGGAGCTGTTACTCTCGCTAGAGTTCTCAGAGCCATCCTCGGAGTCGCTTTCGAATGTTTGCTCGAGAGGGAGCCTGTCACCCTGAACCACTTCGATGCCTACATCGAACCGTTAGTTACATCTGCACTCTATCTATACCTAATTCACAGGTTTAAGGGGACCGAATAAATTCCGCGGAAAGTTCTTTGGCGCCCAATTAGTAGATGAGCTCTTACTTTTCAATAGTGTTGCATCCAATTCGGTTAATAAATCGAGAATGGTGGTCTTTGTGAGCGAAGAACCCGTCATCCGAACGTCTAAAGACGCCTTTCCATGTCGAAGCACTCCGATATTAGTTGCCCATACCCTGAGTCTGTCTCGCTGGTTCTTGACTACCGAGATGGACAGTTTCCCGTCTGATTTTTGGCTGGGGGTTTCCAGACTGCGCACAAGAAGATTGAAAGTTTCCACGCATTTTGTGGTGGCCGCTGCGAGTGGAATAGATGTCGGCTCAGTCGTTGTTTGTGTCTCCATGGTGTCGGAGCCAGAAACTTCTAACGACCCGCTCAGAAGAAAAGACTGGAATGAGACTATCTTGAAGTGTTGCCTCGGAGACTTTGAGTGCGTGTAACTGCTAGCTCGACTTTGTCGGCCACATTTTGGTGCGATAAGAAAGACGCAGTAGCATCGCACGTTGGGTATCGAGATAAGCGGGGTGGCGGAAAAGCCGTACGAGCCGGCTTGATATCACGGGAAGCCAGAAATGGAAACGCCAAGTCTGACTGCATGAGCGCTTTCTGTGTAACTTCAGTCGCATGTCCAATGGCAGAGGCGCAGCCGCAAGGCTGCAGTGGCCATATCTACAATTGGCGAATGTGCGGGGGAATCGCAGCTTCATTGTTATACAGCGTGTCACAGTCGACCATACCTTCGCATACAACGGTATCTGGGCTTTTGATGCAGTAGGTCAAGCAGATACATGATAGACTGAGCAACAGTATTGATTGATCTGCTTGAGGGCCAATCATGGCGGAGATCGCCGGCCTCGTACTCGGGGCCGTGCCTCTGCTCATATCTGCCTTGGAGCACTATCGAGACATCATTGATCCCGTTATTAGATTTAAGAATTGGAGGGGCGATCTTAAGAATAACATTCGAAGGCTAGCTGTAGAGCGCGCAACTTATCACGATAATCTGCGGGTCTTGTTATCGAAAGCCGTACGCTCCACCAACATGGAGGAGATGATCAGCGATCCGCAGTGTGAACTTTGGACAGACGAAGACTTGATAGGTGACTTGAGGGACGAATGGGAGTGCTCTTATGAGCCTTGCATTGATTTGGTTCGAGGCATTGGAGCAAGCTTGGAGACAATTGCAGCGAGTCTCAATATCGAAGGGTCGGACCAGGTTAGATGCTTACACTCGGGGCACTGCAGAGCCATGCTAACATCCTGTCTTGAAGATCGCACGAGGAGGCCTGAGAGCTTTCGTGTCAGCCAACTCTCCAATATCAACGACACAAGACGGCGTTTCCCGGTTCGAGTTTCGACGGCAAATAAGATTCACAATGAAGCGAAGTCAACTGAACAAAGCCATCGCATCGATAGAAAGGGACAACGACAGGTTAGGCAAGCTTCTGGATACAAAGACTAAAGTCAACTCCATAAATGAGAGCAATGGTCTGCATTCGAAAGTCAATATCAAATTCGTTGCTCCGCTGCCGAAAATACGAGACAACGCGGCCAGAGTCCACCAAAGCCTCCGCACACGATTTTGCGCCGACCACGAGTGTCATCAGGCTGGATTGCTTCTTCAGCAACGAATAAGGAGGCGGAGAGAACTATCAAAGCAAGAAATACTGAGAAATGTGGGAACACCGGAATGCTTCTGCGTGTCCATGTGGAAGTTCTCTGAGATGTCCTGGATCGACACAGAGATTCGTGTCTACGACGAGTCTTCAGCCAGCACAAGGTATCCATATCCTCGTCGCCTTCACGCACATAGATGCAATCATGACTGACTAGATCAGTCAAACCGGTTCTAGTGTATCTCGTATGGTTATCACAGGCCCGAACATTCAGACTACGCTGAATACAAGCGTTCCAGTTTTGGAGACATTGGCCATCACCGATATCTGCACCGCTATCCACCGCGCAATCTACCCTCAAATAGGACTAAAGATAGACCAATCAGGTATTCTTCGAGGTCTATACGAAGTTGAAACTAGACAGTACCACCTGGCCGCTAATTTCGTTACCATGGATCACTTCCTCCCCGTGATTCACAGGAGGGATCATTCTATGCCGGACCTGTATTATCTAGCTCTAACCTTGATTTCATCCATACTACAACTAGGAGAGACACCGTGGCTTATACAATCGTGGAGCCGGAAACGTATCGCCTTTCTGCGACTGGAAGATGGTAGCCAATCGTCCGTGGATATCAAGCATCCATACCTAGCTTGCCAATATGACTCTGGTAGGCTGTCTTGATAGTTATGGAATCTGCTACTTTACGTTACTGACCGGAAAATAGATACCGTAGTGTCACAAAACGAGGGTCAGACTGCTGCACTACGGCTGCGCAACCGACGAACCATTTTGGCGCTCGCCATAATGCTCCTTGAACTCAACTTCGGAACGCCTATCGAAAACGTCAGGACGGAGTCGGAGATGGGGCCAGATGGGCAGCCACACGAGCAAACGGATTTCCTCACGGCACAGCGATGGTTCCTCCAGAAGGAAAGTAAAGGACAGCTAACCAAAGGGTTCAAAAGCGCGATTTGGCACTGCCTCCAATTCTCCACTCACTATGCTGCGTCATTTGACAACGCCAGCTTTGTTCAAACCATTCAAGAAAAGGTGCTGGAACCAATTGAGCAGGAGTTTCTTGGGACTTGGGTAGACTTTTAAAGATCGAGGATCCAGTTTAATATCGTACTATACTACAGGAAGCGTCTACATTCAAGCGTCCAACTTCAATAAAACATTCAACGATCACACCCATTTCATGAAGCCAGCCTCGATTCAAAACCCTGCGCATGAATTCCGAATGCGTTACTCTTTCCGACTTGCTATGATCATGAAATGATTTGAACAACCAGATCTCTAGCATATGTATCCAGGAAATAGGGGTGCTAACGATTCCTCATTCGATCGTGACGGCCTTTGCCTTGCTTCGCTAACTTACATGATCTGCGATGCTGCCGACCAAACCCCAAGATTCGCTACCATTTTCCAAGATCAAGTTTACCACTTCTTCATGCCCTCCATCGATGGCATAGTCCAAGGGCGTAGCGCCAGAATTGTCCATAATGCTTACATCTGCTCCGTGGTTAAGCAGGGTCCTCACGGTATCGATATGACCGCTTATTGCAGAGATATGAAGTGCCGTGAAGCCGTCATCATTCCTGTAGTTTACCCCAACGCCGTCTTTCAGCATGAACGGTACGATTTCAGGGTTGATGTGCTGAGGGGTGGTCAAGCCCGACGGGGCTGAGCCCGTCTTGTCGAGGGACGCTCCATGTTTGATGAGCAAGGTGACGATGTCTTGTTGATCATTCTTGATGGCCAAATCCAACGGGGCCTCCACTTCGGTTCTTAGATTCGGGTCTGCACCATACTCTAGCAGCGTCTCCACGACGTTGAAATGACCATCTTCGACGGCGTAGCAGAGTGGCGTGATTGATCCGACGGTACCATTGGGATCAGCGCCGTAGGTAAGCAGCAAACGAACGTTAGGTTCATGTCCGTTCTGAGCGGCTCCCGCGAGGGCCAAATGGCTAACCATTCCGTACAAACCAGTCAGCGACCTCCCGCTTCGATCAATCAGCTTTCCCAGCATAAAACTTAACGTGGAATGATGTCCTCGTTCCGCAGCGACTATGATCGGGGAATAGACGCCATCTATGGTGGTATCCCAAACGACGCCATTTTCGGGAAGCATCGTTTCCACAATCTCCGTCAGCCCAAAGTAGGCCGCAAGGTGAATATTTGTCCACTGTTTTGGATACAACTGACTCCATCCTGGAGAGTGTAACCCAGCATCGTCCACTTTCAGGGCTTGAACAGCTGCCTGGACCATCATATCTCTTCCAAGAAAATTCATGATGGCCTCGCGTACGCTGTCTATCGCTGCTGTATCTCTTGCGCCTTTATGTTTGTCTAGAGCTTTGCGGGCATAGAGACCCCATGCTAGTGCCGCGTGAATGTAGAAAGGATGCTGAACGAGACGTTCTTCCCACTCATCATCTGACAGGCAAGGGCCTGCCGCAAAGGCATCCATGGAGAGATACTTACAGCAAACTTTCGTTTGGTCTTCCTCTGCGTTTGGACACCACTTATCCCTTGTTTGAAGGAGATACGCTTCTGTCGTAGGATGGAAAAACACCAGACTACCCCCCGAGGTCTCCATGACAAGCCCAGCACAATGAGAGAGTACTGAATTTGCGTCCATGGATGCCTCTTTATCTGAAGTGCCATCGTGTAGAATGAAAGCAGTCAAATCCTGGATTTGTGGCTTTTCCAGAACGTAGTCAGAATGTGCCATCCAGGCAAGTAGTTTACTAGCCATGTTCGATTCCCGGACGCGCAACATTGTCTTTTCGTAAAAGTCAATGATTCTGGGAGTTTGTAACAGAATTTGCAACAGAACAGGATTGACGAAGTATTCCACATCTGGGCTATCCTTCAAGGCATCAATGTAGGCTTTAGCAAACAGGAACCTAGCTTTGTTAGACAGCTGTTACTCAAAGACCGGTGTTTCAACTTACACTCCTTCTGCAAAAGTCACTATTTTCTCTTCGAATTCTTCTAGTCGTCCTGGACCGCTCTTGCTTTCTGTTGCCACATTGAAAGCATCGCGTGTATACGCTGATATGTCAGCGTCTGTGGCTCGCAGCTCCTGGATTCGGAAGTCCGGTAGTGCGTCGACGATCGTCGGGTCAATCCTGGAAGTGAGAAGCACGCTGACTTTGGAGTGGTCCCTCGCGATGCCGTGTAATAATCGGAGTAGCTCCAAGTGTCTTGCTCGCATATCGAATCCGTCAACGACAAAAAAGACCCTCGATAGATCGTCAGTGGACAAAGCCAAATCGAAATACTGTCGTGTTTGATAAACTGATAGAACTTGTTCCTCTTCGTAACTTAGAAAATGCGATACCTGGGTATCGCTGAGCTGGGTCATGAAGCTTCGGAATAGCGCTCCCATCATGTTCTTTCGGTGGTCGTAAGTCTCACAAAACAAGCCTACAACCCCGACTGTCTTCTCGTTCCTGAATCTTTGGCGAATGTCTTCGAGCACCACCGCAGCTAGAACAGATTTTCCGACCCCAGGCACACCTAGAACTAGACGTTTCTCCCCAACACGGGATAACCACGTCTGGTGGCCGGTTGAGTTCAAGAACCATTGCCAGGTACCCGGGTGTCGTTGCTGCAAGTATTTATTAAAGACAGACTCATCATCGGCGGTGTTCTTCGGCTCTGGAAGGTTATTCTCGCTTTCCTGTTTGTCTTCAACGTTGTCTTTGAAGGCATCGCCCCGCTCGAGGGACGCAGCATCGGGAGAAGACGAGGCCTTAGAACCGTTGTCTGAGAACTTGAGACTGACATCCAGGAGAGAAGATTCAGACCGATTGCCCTGAGCAGCTCCAGAATTGCTCCCATGCGTCGGCTCATCCTCTTCTAGTGCGTGTCGTGGAATGGAGAAAGAAGCGAGTCGTTCCATATGAAGGGCCATATGGTCAGTGAGAGAGGTCTCAAACGGGCCGTTAGAGAGACAAAAGGGGCAAGTGTCGCGCACATCCGTTGTGCTAGCATGTGCAAAGCTAGCCATACCCTGTATCTGAGCCTGGCTTAATGTAGCATGGGATGCTTCGAGATGCCCGATCAAGGCGCCTTTCGATCTAAATAGATCTTTATGCTCGAAACAGCGCCACACCCTACGGTGAACACGGGATTCGTGTTCCAGCCAGGCAGACTTGCTGCTGTGCATCGCACTTGACTCTGTGCAATCGGTGTATGTACACATGTACGGTTGAAGATCTCGTAGAATGTGTTCCCTGAAAGAGGTTCAGTCTCAAATAGTCCTGGTAGGTTCACTTCGCGGCGAGTTCTTACCTCCAACGCCTTCCTCTTCCTTCTCGAGCGGCGCACAAGACGTGGCAATACGGGCACACGAATTCCAACTGCTCAGGCTTGATGAGAGGCGGAGCAGGGAGCTCAGAGGTTCCATCGTCCCCAAAAGCTGTTGAGACGTAGGATATGGTTGACACGGTGTCGGTATTGTCTCCGTCATGGTGATACTTTGTCGCATCTGTTCCAGAGAGTAATGTACGCCCAGTGGAACTCGCTACGTGGGACTCGACGGGCCGGGGATTTGTGTTGAGGCCTTCAGAAGACCGCACGACTCCCAGCGGCACGGCTGCAGGAAGTTCACTTGGTCGAGCTGAAGCTTCTCTTGGCTGAGATGGCCGTTCATCCTTTGCCAACTTCTTGGCATGTCTCCGCCAGTATGCAAAGACTCGCCGCCTGCTTGTGATTGACGTGCTCCAGCGATCAACGAGGTAACTCTCATGATTACCGTGACTCTTTTCAGACGCAGCCGAGTCAACAGCCTCTGGGACATGGAGGTCATCGTAAATTTCCACTGCAGCTTGATCCTTCCGAAGCTGCCGAAGAGTTTCTTCGACATGTTGTCGATCAAGAGTCGAGTAAGCTTCGAGTAAGTCGCCCATCGTGGTTCCATCGACAGGAACGAGCTCCTTGTGGTTCAGAGCCTTATGGTCCAGATGCGCAGTTCTGTTTGCAGGCCCCCTGATCCTGAAGGATAATTTGACGAGGGAAGATAGAATGTGGTTTATCTCGGCTGTGTTCTGTCCTAGCTCTGTCTGTTTTCCGGAGAATCCTGGAAAATTCTCGCCATCGTCTGAGCTGCCGCTTTCACTGGAGTAGCCTGAACTGTCATCCATATCGTTTATGAGCGTTTCTTCCAAGGGTGGTCTTGATCCAGTCACCACTTGTTCGCCTAGTCATTCGATTAGGAAAATGTTTGTAATTCATCTGCCTGGATTGTCTGCCAAAGATACAGGAAACCGGATTGACTTCGTACTTCTCTTAATAGTGTTGTCCAGCTCCTTCAGCAGCTTGTATACGGTGCTGTGCATGAGACTGGAATCCATCAAACGAAAATCTAACGACGCTCTGCCTCGTTGAAGGGCTCCGAGGTTGGTTGCCCATAGTTTGAAACGATCTTGCTGGTCTCTCACAACTTGCGAAGGTAGCTGCGTTTTGAACTTGTCGATGGCAGTGTCTGAGTTGGACTTTAAGGCGTTGAACAAAGACATGCATGTTCTAGTGGCCTCTGCCAGAGGAAAAGCCTGTTGGGATTCCATGATATCGGTTTTTGTCTGAGAGAAGCCTGCACTTTTTGGGACCGCATTATCCGTTTTGAGTACCGTAGTGACAATAGTCACATTCAGTAGACGGCAATATAATGTTCCAGACGTTATTTGAGTGAGGATATGATACAATCGGAAGGCCAAACTGAAGTTCTCGACCGTATTAGTGAACCTGGAATTTGGTTTACTGGAGGTCTGAATGATCAGGCAGAGCAAAATCACGCAACGATTAAGTATCATCCACAGCTGATTTCGAGATAAGGTTCGGGTTTGGCAAGGTATTTCCGGAAAGAGGGGTAATCAGTTGTATTTCATCGATGGAACGGTCCAATTGAAATCATTCATTCCGCAAGGCTCCTGTCGTTCTAGTTCAGCTCAGCTCGGTTATGCAAGCTGACGGAGCATCATCCAACCATGGTAATTCCTACAGTCGAGTTCTCAACTTCTCTCGTCTCCCTGCAGCCCTCAGCATTTGACTTCGAATCAGAACTATAGCAACTTCTGATGACAGTCTCTAAAGCTTAGAAGCCTTAGCATTGGTCTTTCAGATGGCAGAGATCGCTGGTCTGGTTCTCGGGGCCGTGCCTCTCGTCATATCTGCCCTTGAACACTACCAGGAATTCGTTGACCCCGCCGTGGCCTTCTTCAAATGGCGCGGAGAATTATCAAAAGTAATTTTGCGCTTGGTCACCGAGAGGGCCACATATGATCAAAACCTTCGTTTGATGCTTGCGCGAATTGTGAGCCACGATGAACTGGACCGGATGGTCGAAGACCCCCAAGATCACCTCTGGACGTCCAGAGAGCTTCTTCTGGACTTGAAAAGCGAGTTAAGCAGAGCTTACGGGCCATGCATGGCATTAGTGAAGGAAATGGAGGCCGTCATGGTGACCATCGCGGCTGGTCTAGACATTGACGGCTCGGATCAGGTTCGAGGACCATGAAGCAGAGGTCGGCGGTGCTATGCTAACAGAATTGTGAACCAAGGTATTAGATAATGGGCTTCAGACTGTTATATCAGCCAACCCACCAGTCTCGAAGACGCCTGATCCTCGTCAGCGCTTTCAGTTCCGGAAGCGCGTCAATTTCACCATGAAGCGGCGGACCATCGACAAGAAGCTCACCGAACTAGAAAGCTGCAACAGGAAACTTCGAGACTTGCTAACGGGCGCCGATGCGATTAATGCAATTCAGCAGGACGAAGGGCCTACCCGAAGACCGCGCATCCGCTTCGTGGCACCCCTTCAGAGCATCCGCGCAAACGCCTCGAGAGTCCACGGAGGGCTCTGCGGGCGGTGGTGTTCGGATCACGACTCTCATCATGCGGGGCTGCTTCTAGAACAACGCATTGCTCGACGCGTAAAGAAGAGCCGGAAGGGAAACGTGATGGAGGCGGGTAAAATGGATCGCTTCGGAGTATCGCTATGGCGGGCTGCGGTCATGACATGGCTCGATACAGAATTCAGGATTGACGACTCACTAATAACGGCCAGGTAAATTCCCCATCTTGACTAACAGCGTTCCATGGTTCTAACCTATACTGTAGAAGCCAAAATGCACCAAAGGTGACATTCTCAATGGCAGAACTGAAAGAAAGCCTAGATGAGCCCGGAAGCATAACAGTCCTAGAGGTGAAGGACATATGCACGACCATCGAGGAAGCCATGCACCCTCACATCGGCTTCGCCATCGACTCATCGGATATACTGAGGGGACTATACCAGGTAGAAACCCAAAAATGCACTCTCGCCCAGAGCCATATGACGCTGGACGGGTTCCTGCCATCTATCAAGCGCCATGACTACGTGCTGGCAGATTACTACTGCCTCGCCGTCACCCTCGCGTCTTCGGTTCTGCAGCTTAGCGAGACCCCCTGGCTACATCAGCCTTGGAGTAGGAGGAGCATCGCCTTCCTACGTTTGAAGGGCGGGAATGCTTCATCGGTGGACATCAGACATCCCTACCTTACATGTCAATACTGTGCCGGTAAGCGCCCTCAAGTCGTTCATTCTCACTAGATACAGGTCTAACATCCAACTACTCCCCAAGATGAGCCATCGCCCCAGTCCAGGTCTGACGTCCCACCTGCCGGGCGAATAAACATGCTCGCCCTCGCCATAATGCTAGTGGAACTGAAATGCGGCAGCCCAATAGAAAGCTTGCGGCAAGTCCAAGATCTACCCCCGAACGGACAGCCGAATATGTGGACCGACCTTTCGACGGTGACGAGGTGGCTCGATGTCCAGGTGAACGAGGGGAATCTCAGCTTTGGGTTCACGAGCGCCATCACATATTGTCTTCAATGCTGCGTCAATCCGTTCGCATCGCTGGATGATACGGACTTTGTCCAGTCGATCGAGGAAAACGTCTTGGAACCTCTGGAGAGAGAAATGCAACAGCTGCTGTATGGGTAGAACACGAGGTTTCTACATGGCTATAGCCACCCATGTTTGATGAGCTCACTGCAGAGACGATGCGTGGAGTTGGGGGAAACGAAACTTAATCATGCCGGCGACTCTATGCGAGAAGCGGATGTCAATGTAGCTTACGAATGACGGTAAGATCGACACGATTCGAAATGTCCGGCTGAAACCGGCCAGTGTAGTAGACAAGTATATATATTGGAGTTGTCGCTATCTAGCTGTACATCAAACTTGAAAGCCGAGAGCGCGAACTATCCCAGTTCGCTCGGCATAGCGACGCTCTTGTACGAGATGGCACCATAACTTTTCTCCGACGGATCTATCCAGTCACTCAACCGCCATCAAACCATGCGCTCCATCCTCCCCGCCCGATAAAGTCGCCTTCATCATGACCACCCATGAGCAACGCTACGGCCACCCCCCGGACGAGATCCGAGAAAGAAAATAATAATAATGGAAATTTGCGCCATCTGAACGCCATGCCATAGATAACAAGACTCCGGAAACGCCCGTGACATATGCCAACGTATATGATCGATATACAACCTCAACTTCCAAACACGCTGCGTCATCTCATAAATAAATGGGAAACAAGATGAAACGTAAATGAAATGTTGCAACTTAGTGCCAACCACCATGCATGCGTTCGTTATCTTCGTGGATACGGAAACCGATCCCGTCCTCAGCACCGGGGACTTGCCAGCCGCGCTGAGTGCTGGGGTACTCGGACGGCTGGCTGCTCACATCGGATTGAGCATCGTCGTTAGCACCCACTGCAGGGGAGAAGAGTGGATCGATGTTCTCCCCATCCGACATATGGTCTTGGTCCTCGATACCAGGCCAAGGCTCATCCTCAGGCTGCCGCGGGTGCGATGAGTCACCGTCACGCACTGTAACCATGTGAGTCACCTCGACACTGTAGTCGCTGCCGTCCTCATCATAAGGGTTGGTGCTCCCGTAATCCGGGTCCAGGTTTTCGTCATCCTGCACGTCGTCTTCCGCGTTGGAATCTTCCACTACACCGCCGGAAACACGTGGGCGTGACTCCGTGACCGGCGCGTTGCTGTACGGGGTAGCGTAGTACATCGGCGTAATTCCACGACCGTTTTGATGGCGCTCATCCGCGGGCATGAAGCCGGGCGCAGGGCTGGGCGAGATGGTCCAGCGAGGTGTGTTACGAGGGCGACTAGGCGAACGAGTCCGCCGGCGTTTGTAAGCATTTGACATTGCTGATGCTGTCGCTGCCGCCATGTTCGGAGGACTGGTCCGGACCTGAGCGGCCAGCTGTCGTTGCCCAAATGACGACACGCGCCGCTTAGTGAAGGCTGGCGAGTAGTTCGCAGGGACTGATGGGGGCATTGAGGTGGTGCGGATATAAGGCGGCTTTGAACCCTTCCGCTCCCTCATCATAGTCTCTCTCAAAGGAGTCTGGCCACGAGTCATCATCGGACTAGACGATCGCATAGACGATTGCATCGTGATGTGGTGAAGCGAAGGGGAGGCTGACACCCTCTGCCTGGCCTGTCGGATACTCAACGACGACTGAGAACTGGGGACCTCGTCCAAATGATCATTCCATGCCCAGTAGTCTTCGCGGGCATCCGCTTCAGGAACCTCCTGCGTAGATTGAGAATCGGGATAAAAGCGGCTTGTTTCCCGAAGACGTTGCCAAGTCCAGCCGGACTCAAACGCCTGCAAGTCCTGCAGGTAAGCTTCAGGCTGAGTGATAAACAGACGAGGCTCAGAGGAGCGCATGACGACAGAGTGGAGGAAGGACACGTCCCATATAGCGGGAGTGATCATCTCTGCTGGCGTCAAGAAACGGAGGCGAGAATCTTTGTGGACCTTGCGGAGAGGCACCCATGATTGCTGCAGGCCCAAGAAGCGATCAGCCTTCCCATCAAAGCTCCGCCGGCGAGAGGGTGATGGCGTAGCGACCGAAAAGTCGGTAAATGTGTTCGAGAAGGCAGCATGCATGGCTGCCTGGACGCTCCTGGCGTCGGTGCCTTTGATGGATATGGTTCGTATGAGGCCTCGACTCCTTAGTCGTCTGTCGATGACGCTCGTTGGGCCGCACGCCTTGGCCATGAGCCATTCGTGGTCATGGCCCGGAGCGGCCCATTCCGCGCAGAAGGGCGACTGGGCCCTCATTGTCAAGCCGCTGTTAGTGTTGGGTAGCTGTGTCCACTCATCCAAGCTAGAGTGAACGTCAGCCTTGAAATCTTGAAGCTCTTGCCAGATGCGCTTGAGAGGAAATGGCATGAAGACAACTTCAACCTCCCATGGCCGAGCTGGCGAGGGTATTTGCGACTGAAGCTGCAAGAGCTGTGATTGTAAGGTTTGGATCTGACTGAGCATCTCATGTGAGTGGGCGGCGCGGGATGTTGTGCTTGTCGCAACGGAGACGACACTGTTGGTCGACTCATCAACATTCTGCCGGTCGCGACGGCCGACAAGACTGCTGGTATCGTTCATGACCTTCTCAACCTCCTCCATGCGCACCTCGAGATCGGTGACGCGAAGGTCGACAGCATCATGCTTGTCATGGCATTCATCATGTCCAGCTGCAGAGAAGGAAACGTTTTCCAGCTTTTCCAGGCGGCTCTCATGTCCCTGAACGGTATCTGATAAATGGCGGAATGTTTCGCGGGATGGTCCTGCAAACAAGGCGTCGACTTTTTCCATGGGTCTTGGGGACTGCGCTCTAGGTGTCTCTGCGCCGCTGTCACTGTGAGGAATAGTTGCGCCATCATCCTTGGTAGACTGGCAATCCGGCTGAGCAAACGTAAATCCGGCATCCTGGAGTCTGTCCTTTCGCGGGGTCCTGGGATTAGAAGTAACACCACTTAGTGTCTGAAGACCCCTTCCGGCAAAGGGACGAAGGTAGCGGGCCTGGCTGGAGGAGGTGGTGGAGCTAGCCTGAGATGGCATTAGACATTGAGCTGGTATTGGCGGCAACGCGGTATTATTTCCAGGCTGGGACTGTATGAAATCGCCCCAGGGTAACGTATCCTGTAAAGAAGACTCCGGGCGCTGGCTGGGCTGGTCCAGAGGCCGAGGCCTTGGTGGTTCCTCGGGCTTGTTAGGAGGCATCGCCACGGCGGCATCCAGGTTCATAAACTCCATGGTCGGGGTAAATCCAGCGGGCATGCGAAAAGACATCTCGGGCATCTGGACCGGGCTGAGAGGTTCCCTGGAAATCCTCGGCTTCTCGTTCTCCTGTCCGGCGATGTGGGCAAGGGGCGCGGCGAAGAGGGCGGGCGCATTGGCGGCGGTGGGAGTCTGCGCGGGCGCGGGCGCTTCGCTCCCAGCGCGACCGCCATCGTCGTGATAGCAAGCATGATGGGAGCACATGCACCATACGGAGTTGTCAGCGCCCAGGGTATCTGCGTATGCTCTCCCTGCGGCAAAGCGACTCCAAAAACGACGGCATCCACACTTGGCTCCATTGGCGCCGGGCGTCAAGTCCACGTAGTTGCAGCCTCCTCCGGGAAGGGAGACTGGGGAGCGCTGGGGAGCGCCATCATTGTAAATGTCGAAGAAGGATGAGCCCGGGAGAGGAGCATCGAACGGTGTTGCTGCCATTGGCGGCAGTGATATTCATCGGACAGGTTGGGTGATCGGTGCGGCGGCGGCGACGGGGATGGCGCTGGTAAGTAGGCGAAAGGTGGAATGTTGGGATGAAGATGGGATATCGGTCGCGCGACGATGTTGACTCGGGATGTTGGAGAGAGGAAGTTGGTGAAACGAGAAGTGAGAGAGAGAAATCGCTAGGCGGCCCAAACCAGGGCCCAGCTGGGTCGCAATCCGAGAGACCTAGAACATGGCAGCTGGTGCGAATGTTAGCTCTGTCCTATCCTGTGCTGTCCGGACCGGCAAGGCAAGGTATACGGCATGCGGGATGCGGTATGTCCAGGCTGGAAGTCGGCATTCGCAAGCCCACCGGGGGAATCCTCAGGGCCGATGCAACAACCTGGAAAGCAAATGCACCCACCCAAACACGGAAGAAGATATGGGAGCAGCACGGTAATGAATTGGCGATAGAGTGCTCTATATATATACGCGTGCGCTTTTGCGTAGCTGATGTGCGCGGCTCGAAGAATGGCAGACGAACCGTCGAGGCGAATAATTGACTGGAGGGGAACGGGGTGTTGTTGATGAAAGTGAGGCGGCGACGGGATTGGGCGACGGCGGGACGAGCACGACAGATTGAACGACGACTGGGACCGTTGGCCGATGGAGGATGGCGGGGGGTACTACGGAGAGAGCAGGAACGAGGGAGTAACCAAGTCACAATCCCAGTAGCACAGATGGCATGGGGATGAGAGATAATTGTGGAGCAGAAGAGAGAGGGAAACAGTCAGAATAGAGTGTTAGGTAGCATCCAGAATCAATATGGCCGAGTTTCTCCAGTTGTCGGTATCCGTCGTCAGTCAGTTGATGCGTCTCGTCGAGGTGTTGTCGGAACGCAAGAGATGCAGGTGTTAGGAATGACTCGAAAGGGGATGCAGGGGTTCCTGATATCCCGCGCCTTGTCCTGAGGCCTCTGTCGGTGTCGGGTCAAAATAAGGTCATGATGTTAGCGCTGGTGGTAGTTGAAGTGGACAGGCAGCTAACAAGAGCTGTGATGTCGCAACATGAACTCGTTGGAGGAGGTGGTGATGGTGTGCCTGGTTGCTGCTAGCTGTACGTACAGAATAGGCGCATGCACTATGCAGGATGCGCGCTATCTGTACGCGAGGTCGGTGGTCGCCTCCTCACCCATCCACATCACCCAGCCATGCCATGCATCCATGGCACGGCAATGGGCCCTGTTTGCCTGTGTGGACGGCTTCAGAGCAGCAAAGTCGGCTGTTTGGGGGAGATGGATAGTGAACCGTCTGCTTCAGCTGCTCTCCCTGCTGCAGGTGGCAGGCCGCAGCAGCTGGCGCTTCTGGCGCGCGACCTCCAAACCCAGCAATCAACCCTTGGAGGCACTCACCTCACGGAGG